GTATGTTTGGTTGACAAATTAGGAAATTAATTGGAGGAATGTTTGAAAATCCAATGGAGAAAATTCTGCTTGCTGGCCGAAATTTAGGGCTAGAATTGCAGCCTTGATTTCTAAATTTTCATGATGATTTTAAGCTCAATTTTGCTCAAAATACTCTATAATCTGTTAAGCTATAAGTATGTGCTAGATTTAAACCAAAATCATGAGTTTTAAGTGGTAAGAACACCATTTCTTTCACTGTTTTCATGGTTGGAATTCTGCTCAAAGCTGATAGAGAGAGAGTGACTTTATATAGCTTTTTCTTGGTTTTGTGTGATACGTATTACTGCCCTAAACACATGATTAGATAGTTACCCTGGTATGAGTAGTGAATTGGAGTGGAAAATGAAAGGTTTTAAAAGGTGAACTACCTCATTTTTCTTCATTGTTTTGCTGCTAGAAATTTCCGCAGGAAGCTCTGCATAACTTTGAAAAATTGGTTATAACTTTATGTAAAAGTCAGAATTGAGTTCCGTTTATTGCGTTTGAAACTAGATTCAGAGGGTTTTCTATTGTGAAAATTTGAGAATTTTTCTCAATTCTTATGAATATCTGTGATTTTCCAAAGTTGACTGAATTTTCACACATGTTCTGTTTTTCTACCGGATGAAGCAGTAACTTGAGACTAGAATTTGACTGATTTTTGGTAGAATCTTACAAATGTGTCTTCGGGAAAACTATAATCCTTTGAGCCTATTTTCCAACGGTATAAAGTTTATAAATTTTAGACTTAAGAAGCTTGAGATATGATTTTTCAAATAGCATTGCGCAAAACTAGAGAAAATTCTATTCTTCAAAAGTTGTTCCTACTTTCATTTCCAACTTCAAGTTGGAGTTGCAGAACTATTTTAACCTTGGTTTTATGATTGGAGTTGAGATAACTTGGTTGGTTTGGAAGTGTTTTCCTTTGAATATGGTAGCTTGAAGTAGGGGATCTCATGGCACTTTACATACTTGATTTTAGGACTTGAAGGTGTGGCCGAAAGTGCTCCTGATGCAAACACTTAAGCATGTTGCCGTGGTGAGTATTCTAACTGCATGTTTCGTGCTCATTGCTGCTAGAAATTGCTAGCAATTGTGTACTTTATCTCATAGGCAAGTGTGTATTTTATCGCACTTGACCTAACTCGACTAAACTTTTGATATCTTGTTCATGCATATACCAGCAAATTTGATTTCCAAGTAACCTGTATTTGGACTTGAAATACTTGAAATGCTTGAAAACATGATATGTTGAGCTTACTTGTGACTTGATCCTATCTAGGCGAGTGTGCTCTTATGTACACTCAATCTCTGTGAATTTGAATTACTTGATCTTGCATGTATGCGAATGTAGGCCGGCTGTATTTTTCTTATAAAGGTTGAATTGGACCCTTAGACCCTTATCCGAGACATCGGGTAAGTTGGAACTTAGGTTACTCATGCGTATGCGTGAATATAGGTCGGTAATGGCTGAACTGAGCGCTCGTTATACCTCTTGTTTGAGACTAGCCTTAGAGTGGTTGGATAAGTTGGACAACCTTGGGTAAAGGAAGAATTTCCTAACACTGTTTACTCTGACTGGAACTCTAATATAAACACTGTGAAATCTCTGATACGGAGCGTTAAATAAGAACTAACGGCTCCAATCAATAACTGCGTAAGCATTGGATAACAACCAATGACTCTACTCGTGAATTCTTGAATACTTGAGGCTTTAAGTCATATCATGAATACTTGATTCTTGTATACCTAGGGCCATAAGCCCAACTCCATGGCTAGTTGGTCAAATTGAGCTTGGTCGATAAGATTGACGAATCATGGGTACTTTTGGTGTTCGGGGCCGGTAGGGGATGATCGATGGACGGAGATTGACATTTAGTAATGATCTACGGATATTATAATTTCTTGGTTGACGGAGAGTCAACGAACCACGAACAAGCAACTGTGGAACCTACTCCTAAGAGTAGCCTATATCCTTTTGACATAAATGTGTTCTTTACCGTATATTAATGCATGATCTATTTGGTTACCTGATTACTAAATCATATGTCACGGTTTGTTTGAGTATGATTTGTTTTTCGATATCCTGTGAATAGTATCATGTATGCTAGTTTACTTGTCTGTTTTCTTGGAACGTCACTGGGCTTTTAGCTCATTCTATAAATTTGTTTTCCTTACAGGGATGAGAACATGAGAGGTTGAATTGGGGAAGGCATAGACTTTGTCTAAGTTTTGTTAGTTGCTCACGTGAGCACTCTTTAGAATTTCTAGCTTGCCTGCGTGGTTTTGATTTTGTGAATTCGACTCCGTGGCTGTATTCATAGATTGTACGGGCATTTGAGATCCATAACTGTACACATTGGAGGTTGTATTTGTTATCGCCTTTATTATTGATATTATTGTTCTAAAATTTCATAGCACGTGACCGACTCCTGGCGAGAGTTGGACAGGTGGTCCACCAAACCCTTGGGTACGGCCTAAAGGGAGGTAGGGCTGCCACATTTGCGACTCGATCCACGAGGGACCAGGCCACGGATCCACTTTCCCCTGTTTTAAATATGAATTTCATTCTTCAAAAGTGAACTTATAAGGATCGAAAACAATCTAAGAGGGGGGTGAATTAGGTGGTTTAAAAATTAGCCAAGATGTGAGTCACTTTTTCTCGAACTTGCCCTTTTTTTCTAAAGGACCTCACAAAGGAACAATTTATGATAAAGCAGAAGTGATTATGAGTAGAAGAAATAAGCAGTTTATATTGCAAGACAGTAAGTAAAAAGATGGAATAGCAAACCAAGTTTCAAACTCGACTTGAGTTTGAATATCACTTTATATAGCAAGTTTCTTCAAGTTGATCAACTTATAACCAATCTCTTGTCTACAAAGGAAGGATCACTTCCTCCTTGCTTCAAGTCTCACTTGATCAAGCAAGGAAGTTTTATAATCACTCGGATAACCCTCACAAAGCTACACTATTGAAGAAATTGACACACACTTGAAAAGTTTATTGAAAATTACACAACTAAGAGTACAAATCTTCTTTTTGGAGTATTCTCACACTTGAATCACTCAAGATCTGATGTAGTCTCAATGTGCAAAAGTAATTCTGAAGTGATTGACTTTTTCTATTTATAAGAGACCAAAAAGTACTCCAATAAATGCTGTTAACGGATAGAAGGCAGTTGAAAAGTCAACTAGCCGTTGGTGGTGTCAGATGTCCGGTAGGCATATTTTTCGCATCCAATCGCAGGTAGTGAGTTCAAGAAGTTTTTCTTGAAATGCTTAGGACGTCCGGTGCTTCAATACTTTGCGTCTGAAGTGTCGCACCGTTTGTTGGACGTCCGGTACTCAGGTATTGTTCGTCCGAACGAAATCAATGAGTTTAGAGAGCTAGGTTCATTTTCTTCGGACGTCCGAGAGTGAGTTCCTTATGCGTCCGAAGTTGCTCGAAGGTTGTCGGATGGCCGATGCAGACTTTTTGTGCATGCTTCAACATTTGTTAGCCATTTTTGCTCCAAATCTAAAAATATCTATTTTGGGGAATATTAGTGTTATCCATTTGTTTTGTCATCGTCAAAAGATACGGACTGAGATGAACTGTGACAGCCCCACCACCCCTAAGGCGAACCAAAGGGCTCGGCGGACCGCCTGCCCAACTCTCGCCGGGACTCACTACAATTCTCAAATAAAATACAGCACTCATATCCGATAACATAGGGTACAACCTCAAGAATAAATGAAATAACATTTTTCAAACTTAGAATGAGATAAGATACATTACAAATCTCAAGTAAGGGTATCATTCCCCGAATAAGACAAAAGTTCTCAGTTCTCAAATAATTACATCAAATACTTATCAGGTGAATCGAATTCAAATTATATATTAGATATCCCTTCAGGCACTAATAACTCAATACAAGCACTTTCTTTGGCCTCGAGCCCTGTGGGGAAAAATTATTTTTGGGGGTCACTAATTAAGCCTTGGAAATGGAAACTCAGGTCCATTTATACTTAAACAAACGAGCAATTAATGGCTAAAAGGGCAAATTAAATAAAATTCATTTCCTTCGATATATTCAAACTTACAACACAAGAATCCAATATATATACATTCAGATTTCCAAAATACAAGTCCATAACCAGCCCTTAAATTTCATTTTCAAAGTTCTAAAATATCAAAAACACGTCGATCTCTTCAAACATCTCCGATCCAGATTCCTGTTGAGGAAAACAAATTGGGGTGAGCTAACACTCAGTGAGGCTAAGGGAAAGGCATGCAAGCATGCGAGCAAAGACACAATATAAAGCAATAACTCGAGTAACAAGTAACTGCGAAACATTAAGCAAGTAGGGAATTTAATCACAATAAAAGGATACGGGAGCTCTCAGGAGCTAATCCACGCGCGATCCAAGCTCAAGTAGTTGACCCTCCGTCAACTTTCACAGTTATCCATGTAAAACTCCACTTACTACCTCCAGCCACCATGACACCCTCTTGGATCCGTAACCAAACAAGCATGTAGGTGGTATCACTTAATAAGTATACCTAGCAAGACCCCTTATTTGGATCAAGCTATAACACTTCCCAAGGTTCACCAAGTTTCTCGACCAAACCCTTGCTGGCTCGAGTTACAAGGCTAGCCAATGGGTTGGGGTGTCCCCCCCATTCACTTTTAGGTCGATGAGACGAAACTCCAATCGACAAGATTTGGTCATAGCATTGAGACGGGATGAGCGGTACCTCCTACCCTAAAAGGGCATGATACATTCTGCCGTTCAATGCTCACGAAAAACACTTTCATTTGCATTCACATGTAACACGTATCACTTATCAAGCAAGCAATTTCGTGAAAGAGAGGACAAGGGCGATAAAGTACGCCCTAGCCTCATTAACTAGCAAGTACAAGAATAATTTCATTTAAACACTTCACATGCACTTGATACTCACCAATTATCAAAAGTCAAAGTTTGAGAAATTAGCACTAAGACGCTTCGCCGGGAGTTCCCTCGAAGTCCTCTTGATATCCTGAAAGTATGCAATAATGCATTGTATCTCATACAGTATTCGTGTAAAGAAAAGAAACAGTCAATTTTGATTCCAATATTCCAGTTTCCAAAGTATTTCAGTTCATAAGGAACCGACTTTCAAATGAGGTCTCAAGTGATAGGTGAACTCAAGTTCACCATAAAAATAGGTTTGAAATGCTCTAAGAGTTGTAAAAATATAACCTAGGCCCTTAAAAGAACATTTAGGTCCAAATTGGAAATTTTCACTTTTCGAGTCATTCTTGAAAATATCAGTCCGGAAGTTCGGAAAGTCTAAAAATGGAAAATTTTACACCGTCAAAAACTTCATTCGAAGCATAACAACTTTGTAGAAGGTCACTTTCCAAGAATCAAATCAGAAAAAAGTCAATTTCTCAAAGAAAGTTTATTATTCATTGAAGATAGGTCAAAACAGTCCAAGTTTTTTCCAATAAATTTGGAATTTTTGCCAAAATCATAGAATCAAAACCAACCTTTGAAATTTGATATGCATGTAAATTTCCAATCCAGGTTTCAAAAAAAAAAAATAGAACTCGATTCCGATGTTCCTAGCTCAAGAAATAAAAAGTTGAAGTTCGCTAAAATTCCTGGACTGTTGGCCTTTCCAGAAATTTTCCAGATTTAATGCACTTCGATAATTAGGCCGTATCTCACTCGATTCTCAGTGAAATTGAAAACGGTTGGTGGTGTTAGAAACTAGGTTCACAAGGATATATTTATGTAGAAGAAATCATTTCCAAAATCCAGACATAAGCGGTTCAAAATCAAGCAGCAAAATGGATTTTCTGGACAGTCTCGGATGAACAGTAATAAACAGGCAGCCAACTTTCAAAACTCGCCACGAATTGCTCGGGACGAACTAGAAAATGAGCTTGGTACCATTTTAAAGCTCTAAGAGTCTACTTTCAAATGCCCAAACGGCAGTCAATTTTGATCAACGAGCAAAACGTTATAGCTACACAAATGTTGCTGGTCAGAAAATTCTGGAGCTTGTTCCAGTTTTGCTTCTCTACTTGTAACTCAAACTTTAACCAACCATTTGGGTTGATTTTTCATGGACAACCACAATACACATAGCACAACATATCTACACCAATTTGGAAGCTCAATTAGCACCAGAAAATTTTCGAAATTACAGGGCAGCAGCAAACACGAAAGTCGGGCAGCAAGTCAGAAATTTCAGACAGTACCTTCTCCAAATTTCTAACTTTCTTCCACCTTCATTCCATCAATCATTCTATATAGCACAATATCAGCAACCACAACATGTTAATTCATCACATCAGCCACCAATAAGCATCCTCAAACCCTCGAGCATGTCATGAAATTACAAAAACATAATTACTCAACCAATCAACCCAAATTCTACCATAGGTTGCAAACCCATGCTACCTTTGCTCCATTTGAGCTATAATTTTGTAAGATTGAAGTGTGGGTGAGTGAGTTACCTCAAGAACTTAGTTGGACAGCTTTAGGGCAGAAATTTTGACCAAAATTCCTCCAAGAAAACCGATGAACAGCCCCCTCTTCCAAGCTAGCATCAAAGCCCTCTAATGGATGATGAAATTTGGAAGTGAATTGAAGTAATTTTGTAAGGATTTTGGCTAGATTTTTCTCCCATTTTTCTTCCTATTTTCGGCCAAACAGAGAGAGTGAAGAGAGGAGAGAGAGTGCAATCAGATGGTGTAATGAAAGTGGAGAGAATTGGTGACTTAATGGTTAAATCTAAGTGTCAACTCATGCTAGGTCCGTTTAGGGTCTTCGCGTGTCCAATTTTTGCGCTCGTTTGTAACTTTTGTGCACTAAACCTCTGAGATAATTTCCCTAGTACATTAATAGTACATTACTAGTAGTCTAATATCATGTTCTTAAAATCTCCAATTAATCAAATTAAGGTGCCTGTCGGGGCCTTTTCGGCACGCGCGCGTATAAAGGTCAAACTTAAGGGTTTTCTCATTTGAACTTGGAAATTCAACTTATTCGATTCTAAAACTCTAAAATATGATAATCCAAGTATATATATATATATAACAATAAAAATCACGATAAGCAATTCATCTTGAATAAATTTGGGCATTAAAATAATATGAGCGTAAAGAACCAATCGGTAAAATTTATTTTCCAGAAATTCATGTACTTTAGTATTTTTTTTTGGTAACTCGAGTACGAAATATTTTTAAAATGACCAATTTAACAATATTTTGAAATAATAAAATCACGGGTCCTCACATGAACAATCTCCCCCTTTTTGATGATGACAAAATAATGGATGGAGCAAAAGAAATTTTAAGTATAGCTCCCCCTTACGCATACTCCCCCTTACATAATGCATCTCCTTCCTTGCATCTCCCTTTAGTTCAGAAGAGGTTGATTCCCCCTCACATAGAGAGTTCATATTCAATCCATTTCTCCCCCTTTTTATCATCATTAAATCAACCATGGCCATATTAAATCAACCATGCTCAGCATTCATGCAACAAATCATGAGTCAACAAATCATAGGAATACCAAATTCATTACTGACCAACAGACATTCATCCAGAATGTTTTCCAACAAATTCAAATCCAGAATATTGTCTAACAAACAATGTCAGAAAATCATCAAAAAACATAGGAATAACAAGTAACAAGTTCAAAGCACACAAAAATATCCAAATATTCTTACAGACCAGCAGTGAAAGAGAAAGTAGAAGTCTTAATACAAAACACATAAATTTTGAGACGCAAAGGATGCCAAGAACTAAGCATGAACTACCATGAGGTGCATGTGTCTAGGGGTGCCTAAAATGTGATTTTGGAGGATCCAGACCTTCTTCTAGCCAAACGAAATTAAGCAGGATCTTCTTCCTCAGTGTCCTTATCCTCATCATCGTCATCCTCTTCTTCAGTTTCTTCTTCAATTGCTGGAGCTTTTCTCTTGTCTTGTGGTTGAGAACTGGAGGCACGGTACTCTGGGATGGCCTCAGTGGTTGGCTCAGTTCTAGGCTTCTTTCGGTGTGCTTTCATTTTCAGGAGGAATGGGAGGTACAAGCAGATTCCTTTTGGCAATAAAGGTAGCTTGTTGATCAGAAGTCATGGTCATTATCAAGCCATCTTAAGAAGCAAGATATGTTGTTTGAGGTGCTCAAGCAAGTGATGACCTTAGGGTTGGATGAAGAAAATTTAGAGACTGATTTTCTGGGATGAATGGTGAAGGGTGTCACATACATTGACTGGTCACGAGGAGTCCTAGGGGTGACAGGGGTTTCATGAAGATTTTTTCTCTTAGACTCAGAAACAGTTTCTTTGTAGCACCAGTGACTCTAAAAAAATTTTAGAATTTTCCTCTCAAAGTAAGCCTTTGAAAACACAGTTGATGCACTCTCTTTTGGGGATTTGCCAGAAAAAGGAATTTCAAAATGATTGAAAATAGGAGTCAGAAATTTTTCATAGAACAGTTTCCTATGGCTGTCGGCACTTATCTTGAGCAGAACTTACACATGACAAAGCCAAAATCAATTCGAATTTTTCCAGAAAATAGTAGAACAAGTAAAGTTCCATTTTATTTGCATCAGTTCGGTGGCCATCAATGGGCACCAACAAGTTTGAAATTATGGTGAAAATAATCAGATTCTGATGGTTTAGATCTTCCAATCTAGCCTCAGCAGGAGTATTAAAATGAGATTGAAAATAAGTCATTAATTTTACAATATGAAAGTGATGATATGGAGAGGGAAATTCCTCGTATGAAAAGAAGTTTGCAATTTTACCTTTAAAATCACTTTCAATTTTGGTTTCCAAAACAGAGTTAACAATGTCAGGATTCAATTCAATGTTAACAGAGTTGGCACGAGAAATGAGATCAGTATGTGATCTGCCTTTCCTAAAATTAGCAAAAAACTGATAGAACATGTCAGGATAGTATGTGTTTGGAATGGTTAACAGATGGGTCCATTTTTGGAATTCAAACAGGTTGAGAACAGGTTCAAAATCAAGCTTAAGGAATTTGTAGGATAATGGTCCTCTGGGTGATGAAGCCCTTCTGCGAAATCTATTCGAACCTGTCTCTGGCTTCATCGTCGATGAACTTGGGTAGAGGAGTGGGTTCAGTAGCAGTTTCAGTCTCAGGCTGCTCAGGACGCTTTTTTTTTTCCACTGCGCTGAGCAGATTGTGCAGCACTTTGGACACCAGACCTTGTCCTTAGTGATTTCCTGGTAGGTGGTTCCTCATTTTGCTGATCCTCAGCAGTTTTTTCTACATTCTGCTGATCCCCAGAAGGATCAATAGTTTGCTTTTCCTTGGGCTGAGCAGTGCTCTTCCTTTTTGCAGTCCTTTTACCCTTCCTGGGTGATTTGGTGACAGTTACATCTGCATTGGTGGGTTGTGCTGGTTCCTCTTCGTTGTCACTTACTGGATGCTCCTTAGATTGCTGTTCCTCCATCTGCTCAATAGATGGTTCAACAGATGGCTCTCTGGTTTGCATATTCTGTTTTTTTCTTACAGACTATTTCGTTTTTCCAGCACGATTTCCAGTTTTCTTCTTCGGTGATTTGATGGAGGGTTCAATAACTTGAACATCTTCATCCTTTTCATCACGCAGTTTGAAAGAGCGTCCGGCACTCACGGATCCCTCTCTGATTCTCACCATGATTGAAATGCAGTGGTGTTTGTGTTGTATGATGTAGTGCAGATGAGTATCAAATGGTGAAAGAGTTTAGTATGAACTACAATGGATGCACAAATTGTCCACAGAGAGTGAGTTTTAGTGATTTAGGGTTTTGGGTAGAAATTGGGATTTATATTGTAGTTGGCGGTTGGGGGAAGATATGAAGTACAATAAATACACAATAGGTGTGAGAAGGTGTCGGCCAGAGTAATTTGTTGGAACTTGTTTCAAAGAGAAACGAATTTGAATTTTGAACTGAGAGAGAATGTGAAAAGTTGCGTCCGAGATGAATGGTAAGAATGAACTGAATGATGCTGAGAATTACTTTATAAGACTCAATTTTTGAGTGTTGGATGGCCGAATGAAGTGAAGCGTCCGACACGGTCGTCCGAACCAAAATTTTTCTGGAAAAGGAATGAAGAACACTGTCGGACGTCCGTTCTAACTCATTGGACGTCTGATAGAGAAAGACCAGAAAAAAAACTTAGAAACTTTTTTCTGAAACGCCCAATTTTGTTCTAAGATACACAAATTGATCCAGTGGGAGGGTTTTTGTGAGGATATCAGCAATTTGATATTCAGAACGAACATATTGAACACAAATTGTACCCTTGTGGACAAGATCACGAATGAAATGATGCTTTATGTCTATGTGCTTAGTCCTAGAATGCTGAATGAGATTTTTTGTTAAATTGATGGCACTAGTGTTATCACAGTACATAGGCACACAATCATACACCAAATAAAAAACATTCAATGTGTTTTTCATCCACAATAGTTGAGCACAACAAGCACCAGCAGCAATATATTCAGTCTCAGTTGTAGACAGTAAAATAGCATTCTGTTTTTTGCTAAACCAAGACACTAAGCAATTTCCAAAAAAGTTACATATACCTGTTGTACTTTTTCTGTCTCTACCCACAACCAAAGTCAGCATCAGAGAATCCACATAGAGGAAGTTCATGACACTTAAGATATCAAAGGCCAAAATTCAAGGTTCCTTTAAGATATCTAAGAATCCTTTTTACCGCAATCAAATGTGATTCCTTTGGACAAGATTGAAAGCGAGCACATAGGCACACAAAAAACATAATATCAGGTCTACTAGCTGTTAAGTAAAGCAAACTACCAATCATACTTTTATATTTCTTTTCATCAACTTTTGTACCTTCTTCATCCTTGTCAAGTTTGGTAAATGTGTACATAGGTGTACCAACTTGTTTTGAATCCTCCATTCCAAATCTTTTTAGCAGCTCCTTGGTGTATTTGGTTTGATTAATGAATGTTCCATCTCGGGTTTGAACCACTTGGAGTTCAAGGAAGAAATTTAATTCTCCCATCATGCTCATTTCAAACTCTTTTTGCATGATATTAGAAAAATTCTTGCACAAACTCTCATTAGTAGCACCAAATATGATATCGTCCACATATATTTGTACAATTAAAAGATCTCATGAATTTTGTTTAGTGAAAAGGGTAGTATCCACAATGCCTCTTTTAAAACCATTTTCAATCAAGAAACCACTCAAACGTTCATACTATGCTCTTGGAACTTGTTTCAATCCATACAAGGCTTTTGAACGTTTAAAAACATGATTTGGATAAAATTTATTTTCAAAACCAGGAGGTTGATCAACATAAATTTCTTGATCAATAAATCCATTTAAGAAAGCACTTTTAACATTCATTTGAAATAATTTAAAGTTCTTGAAGCATGCGAAGGCCAAAAACATTCTAATTGATTCTAACCTAGCTACGGGTGCAAATGATTTATCAAAATCTATTCCTTCTTCTTGAGTGTATCTCTTAGCTACCAGTCTGGCCTTATTCTTACTATC